AAATTTTTGTTTTAGGGTGGGAGTGCTCACATCCCCTATTTAAATTCTTATAACGTATTATTATATTGTTTTCTTACGCTCTACCTCTTACCTGAGGTATCGCATTAAAAGCAGACTTTTATCGTACGAAAACCACGTCCGCTAAAGGACGCTGCCAGCTGCAAGCAACAGGAGGCAAAAGCGGGCAAAGGAAAAAGGTAAAGGCAAAGCAAAAGTTAATCCAAAGCAAAAGTTTTTGAAAACAGTGATGGTCCCCAAGGACCATCATACTCAAACAGAACATCACCTATTTATAAGCATATTTTCTTACTTTTTTTTTTTTTTTTTGAAATTTTAGGATTGTTACAGTGACACACACCAAACTCTAGTGTTTTAGATCTGATGCACAAAGGTGATTGTGACCTTCTTATTACAAAAATAAATATTGTTATTATATAATTTTTAAAAAATAAAGAATAAATGTCTACAAAATTTTTGAGTAGGTAAATGGATAGTCCAAATACTAACCTAAAAAGACTCATACATATGGAAAAGATTTTATATCCATTTACTCCAATGGATAAATCCAAATTTGGGTATTTAAGCTCTTCAAGGTGCCTAAAAAAAACAAAAATCTAATCAGTATGTGCGTTAAAACATCACATCCCAAGATTGAACAAATAAAAAGGTAAAATCTAAGTATTGAAGAAATCAAAATCTAATTTTTTTTTTCAAAAATAATCACACGGTAATTCTCATGTAGAATCCAAATGTTCAAATTGGAAAAAAAATCTTGTAAGTAAATCTTTCACCTAATGGAGCATGTGTACAACCTTTTCTGGCAAGAACATAGTATACATGCTCTACATATATCGGAAGCTCTTGCTCAAGAGACAATCTCTCCATCTCACAAGAGAGAGAAGCACTTCACATGCTACAGTATGAAACATGCTCTCTCTCTCTCAGCCATTGTAATTTGTAAGTAGGAAACTATCATAAATATACTTTAACTATCGTTTAATTGAAAAAAAACCCTCTTCATAAGCTTTGTCCACATTTTTTTTTTATTCACTTTTGATATATTTTTTACCAAAATAACATTCACAGCAGTTGTATTACCTTAATAACTACTACATTAGAGTATTTTAAATAGCGTAATGACCAGGCTAAGTATTACGGTACTTTAAAAACCGTAAGGCTCATTGGATGTCTTTTTCCTTCATTTGCCACATCTCCTCAGACTTTTCTTTTGAGGTAAGAAATCCCCCCTCCCTCCCCCCAGCCCTTTTTTTTTTTTGGAGTAAGTTTCAAAAGTACTTTGTAGCATTTCAATCAATTTGAATTTTAAGCATTAATGCGTGCTTACGGTCTTTAACATAACAAAATGCTTGAAAATTTGACCACTACAGTATTTAAAGTACCATAATGCCTAGCCTAGTCATTACTGTATTTTAAGTACCGTAATGCTTAGCCTGGGCATAACAGTACTTAAAATACTATAATATGGTGGACATTACGATAACACGACTACTGTGAAGGTTATTTTGGTAAAAAAAAGGGTCAAAATTGAATAAAAATGGTGTGGACGAGGTTTATAAAAGTTGAAGATTTTTTTTTTAATTAAATAAAAATTAAATTATATTTCTAATAATTCCCTATGTTAATTTTCTTACAATGCAATGCCCCCGTGTACGAAACATGCAGTCTTTCTCTTTATAAATTGTAATTTTCTTACATGGACACTGTTTTTATGAGTCCATGTAGAAATGAGTCACCTCTTAAAAATCTATTTTTGAGAATATAATTTTGGAAATTAATTTTTAAGAGGATGTAATCTCTAACATGGAGATCATGAATTAAAAAAAAAATTAAAATTAAAAATAATAATTTGTTTAAAAAATATTTGGACCCATAGTTTCAATTGTTTTTTAATGGACCTCCTATTTGTTAATGGATGATTTATACGTTGATACCGCATATAGTAGAAATACGGTCCAGCCCGCATGAAAATTTCCATCTTTTACATTAGCAAAAATGAAAAACAGGCCGCCCGTCTGCCTGTCCATCCCCATCTACCATTCCAACCCGTAAACCCCATGTCTTGCCTCCCCTTCGCTCTCTCTTTCTCCATATCTGCCCCCAGCTCTGTCTGACCTCCATAACTCTCCCTTCTCTCTCTCTCTCTTCCAAATCAACATAAAACCTTCCCACATCTCTCCTTCCTCCAGAGAGAAAAGGAATGGCTACTTCCACTCCCAGCTCTGCGACCTCCCCATCATCCCTCGACTCCCGCCCCCTTCTCTTCCGCCATAACCCATCCACCAATGGAAATGGTAATGGAAACGGAGGGGCCAGCAGTCAACTGGCCCTCCTCATAGGCCGCGCCACGGGTCGCCAGAGTCTTCGCGAGCCATCAGTCGCGGTGCGCGAGGCTGCTGCTCTCCAGCTCGAGGAGCGTCGTGCAGACTGGGGCTACTCGAAGCCGGTTGTTGCTTTGGACATAGCCTGGAATTTGGTGTTTTTTGCGGCCTCTGTGGCGATACTTGCGTCTTCAACTCACGAGAATCCTCCTACTCCTGTGAGGCTTTGGATCTGTGGGTATGCTCTGCAATGTCTGCTACATGTAATTTTTGTGTGGGCTGAGTTTAGGCGCCGGGAGCGGCGCAGGCTCCCCGAGTCTGTGGCTGCACCTGCAGGGGGGGCAGTAGATTCAGGGGAGGACGAGAGCGGTGAGGATGAGGTGGCAGGTGGAGGTGGTGGGTTCCACCGCACTGGTTCTCGGATCAGGTACTCATTGACATCCTCGCACTATCTTCATACTCTTTTTCTCTCTTCATGTATTTCGTTTTTCTCTTAGTTTTCACTACTGATTTCTCTTCATTTATGTTTTGTTTTCCTCTTAGCTTTTGTTACTGGATTTGGGTCAGTTGATTGGTTCATTGAGAAGTGATGCACAAGCTATAGAATAGAGCATTTGAGCTGCTTTTCGTTTTTTTCAGGATATTGCTTGTAATTGGATATATTTATGATGGAAGTGTGATTTTGTATGGATGAGTTGGGTTCCTATTTAATTGGAATTAGGGAATTAGAACTGATTTCCTTTGAATGTAATTTGTTATTGTGTATAGATGGTTTTCTGTGGTACATTACTGAGATGAGGTATGAAATCTAACGATTGGGTGACGAGGTATGGTTAATTTCTTAAGTCCTTGTGCTCAATACAAATGTTTCACATAGTTACAGAGTCCCCAAATACTCCATTAATAACATATTGCTGAACTTCAAAATTTTCTAAGTGGGATTATGTGCATCAATATGAAAAAACTGTTGTTTCCAGGTTATTCTGGGCAGGCAGTCCTATATATGCACCCCTGGGTTATGGAAGTTGATTGATCTTTAACAATAATGTCAACACGGCAAACAATGAGGATCATTATTCACGAGCTAGTTGTTATAGTCTGAAGTGTTTTGTGCTCCCAAAATTGTGATAATCTTTTGCACAAGGGGTAAAGAAGATATTATAAGTCCAGAGGTAGTGGGCTGGTTGTTCAAGGCTGTAATCTGGAGCTAGTGAGCTGGTTGGAAGGAGCCTTCCTTGAACAATAGCCATATAAGGCAACTTTTTAGTCTTGCCTGCACTTTGTGCAACTTGTTGCATTGTCTATCATTGATTGATGATTTGTTAATTTTCACTGCAAAGGAAAATTTTGTAGATCCCCAATATCAGACTGCCAATAACTTTAATTGGCCATTGGATCGTCATTTCTAAGAACTCTAGAAGGTGTTTGGCTCATGTGTTCTCTTAATTTTTCTTTCTGTAGGTGTTTAACAATGTAATATGCATTGTTCATCACCATTCTCTAAAGTAATGAGGGCGACTGGAGTATAGGATTTAAGATATATTGTTCACCTTGATGATGCCAAAGGTTACTTTGGCCCTCGACTTCTAATTGATGATGTTCTCTTGACTTGGTTATTGACTTACATATCTTGTGCAGGGTACACAAAATTGAAGGGGATAATTAGTTCCCATTAGGCTTTGATATTTAAACAATATAATAATGTGAAAGCTAAACATAGAAAAGGCATGTTTCCATAGAGGTTTGGAGGGGTTTATGGGCTTTAAACCCCGTGGGAGCATATAAGTAAAAATTAAAGCGGATTGACACTTAAGTAGGTGTGTGTGTTGGTTGACTGACCTAGGATTAGGTGGCTGTCTATGGCCCTAGTCATATTCATAACCCTGACCCCTCTGAGCATATGACACTACCATTGAGGTTTTTCAGAGGATCATCCCTGGTTGAGTTCGGGGAGATACCCAGGGATGTTTGTAAGCCAGGAGAGCTTCGTGGTCTCCCGTGTGTGGTTGTAGGCCTGTGAGAGTGAGGGCTAAATCCTCAATAAACCTCTACACAACATGTATAAATAATAGTTGCAATTTCGGGACGTAACCTATAAAGCCATGCATGTACACATGCATATAGATTCCCCTTGCACTATAGTAATATATGCGTGTGGCTCGCTCTTGGAGGAAACATGTAATCCACATTCAGGGACCGTGGTTTCGCTATTTATGGGCTAGCTTTGACGAGCCAATCATGAGCCCCCTGTATAGGACTGCAGATCATGAGTCTCGTTCGGTTGGTTTGAGAAGATAGTCGAGGATCACTATTATTCGGTTGGGTGAAGTGCCCTGACAATCACTTTTCTTGACTCATTCGTCCTAATCCACTTCTAGAATTTTTGTTTTCAGCTTAAAAAATGTTTTTGTGTTTTTAGAACTCTTTTGGAATTTGTAAAATCATTTTCAGATTATAAAACCCTAAAAAGGGTAGTGTATATATTTATTAAAAATTCTTAGGGCCATTATTTTGAGTGGGACCCATGTGAGGGGGCTAAAGGGTGAGCTCCCACATGTGGGGGACCCACATGGGATGGGACGTCTGGCCCGCATGGGCCACACACCCCACACTAGGTGGGGCACCCCACATGGAGTATGAGGCTCCCACTTGTTTGAGAAACATCCCCTAACAAGTTTTGTGAGAATATTCTTTAAGATTTATTGGAGAGAATCTTGAGGAAATATTTTGTCATCATATTTTGTGGGAGTAGATAATATTTTGCCCTTAGAAAATATTCTTCCAATATTTGAATTTGACCAATTTTTTTTACTTTGAATTCCTACAATCTCTTTGTGAGGAGAAAAGAAAAACCTAGTCAAAATAGAAGATGAATTTCGACTGGTCTTATCCTAGGTTGACTAGAAGTGGATATGGGTAAAAGAATCAGGTGATAAGTTCCTAGATTCCTCCCTAAATTATGATGGCTGATTTTTAGGATGAATGACTTAGATTTAGTCTCTCTCACCTCACAGGTTATCTAGGAATCATATGGCCGAGAGGAATTTTAATTCAAATAGGCATACCTGGAACCACTTGAAACCTATTAATAGAGGGTAGCATCCTCAATTAACCACTTGAATTTCTTTGCCTCTCTCCTCTCTCCACATCTTTCAGCCTCTATTTCTCCTCTATAGTCTAAAGGGTGGCACACACCACCCTAGCATACTTGCAATGGCATGGCCACCTATAGGTAAGAGAGTGTGGCATGTCGCGGACCCTACTTTGTGAAGAGGAGGTGCCACTAAGGTGGCATGCCCTAAGAGTCCCAAAAGGGTTATAAAAAACCCTATATCTTTCATATGCTAACTAACCCCAAATCTGAGAATGGTATTGCCTAAGGAGCTTCCTAGTTTAGTGAATTTAACAGGGCTAATAAGATTAGTGTCCATCGGTCAAGTAATCGAGTTTGGGGTATATCCATAGTTACTGGCATCTTCTAAGGAGGGGTTGCTTCCGCTCTTGGATCTCGTTCTAACGCTCTAAAACACAAGATCTCGATTTCGGACGATTCCTTGATATTAAGGATCTCAATCCTATGTAAATAGGATGCAGATACCTATACCAAAATTCATCCTTTAATGAGTAAGCATAACCGCCATTCCACCAACATGGAATCGAATCTCCTATGCTTTGGGTGCAAGTTTCAACAACGCATTTTTTGGTTACAAAAATAGAGTGTGGATCTCCATTTTTCTATGACCTACAAACTTTCTAAATGCCATGATTTTCTATATATATTTTACAGTTTACAACTTCACAAATCTGGTGAATTGTGCTTCCTCTTTGTTCCTGCTTCTTTGCACCAGTTGAAGTGCACCTATAATAGGGGATCTCAGAGAGTTTATTCTTGATAGTGTTGAGAGGGAGATAGACCACAATGTTCCCAAAGGAATTTGAAGAGAATAAGAGTTCATAAAAGTCCCCAATGAATTTATCTCTTCACCAGCTGACAAGAGAGCTATAGGGAGAGAGAGAGAAGGAGACAGACCACTAAGGACATACAGCTCCATACATTACCAATGACTTGCTAGGTATCACATCACCATATTGGTTTTTTAGTATAATTACTCATTTGTGTAATCTTATTCTATTGATAACAAAAAGTCCACGAGATTTTCAATGACATAATTCTTGTTCCCATTAATACTTGGGTTTGTGGATTTTGAAAAAGTTAAAAATACTGTTAAATGGAACTCTCTCCTAGATTACAATCCAGTAGATAATTGAACTTTAGGAACCTTGATCCTAAGATGACAGAACGCGATCCCATCTCGTAAGGGATCCGCTCCTTTGTAGATATGGAACTTGATCCGTAAAAGTCAGGGATCTCGATCCCTAAATGTGCCCATGTACGGAACTCATTCCCTTGACTATAGAACTTCACGGCATCCTCGCTTCGCTCTTCTGCTCCTAATCCCTGAGCTTTTTCGCTCATGCCCCGGGTAACTATGAGTATATCAAGTCCGAAGGGAGTGACACTAGGCACAATCAATTAAGCCTTCTTGGTTGTTCTTTGTTTGTTTTCAGTCACAATTGCTTAATTTATTGCAATTTTCGAGAACATTATTTGTATTAGAATTATCAGTTAAAGTTTGTATTCAACGTTTTGAATTGAGTCATATTTATTTGGTAGTAAAAGGAAAGATCTTAGGTTGTATTTTAGGGTTTGTAAATGTACAGCATTGTTTTGTGGTACCTATGAGTGGAATTCAATTATATTAATAAAAGAAAAAAAAATTGATTGTTTAGCTTTGAATGCCACATAGCCCCTTCTTTCATTAAGAACTTGTAATACCATAATAATGAGGAGGTCATGGAGTTTGGAGAGAGGTGGAGGATATGAATTTTTTTGTTCTATCTCTGTGCTTTACATTTTTTTTCGTTTTTTTTTTTTTTAATTTTTAATTTTTTATGATCAATAACTTTAATTTCATTTTAAAAAAATGATATGTACATGTATTTTCCATTTAAGAAAACTGAGTTCATCTAACTGATAGACTCGAACAAATAAAAAATCTGCAATTGTAAGGGACTGCTTTGAAATTCCTTCCCTTGACAACCAATTCTCCTCATATGCAACTAATTCAGATTGAATGATGCTTTCAAAGCGCATGAGCATTAGGACATAGGGACCTCTACCTCCCTATGTTTTCTCCTGAAATGGAGGGATACAAGGTTATTTACTTTATTTTCTGACTTAGTTCATGGGGGGCTTTTGTAGACTGTTACTGATTGATCAGGGTTCTTGGAGAAAGATTATGTTTTTATTTCACTTGCGCCTTTGTATGTATAATATGTTTTGAACTTCAGAAACATGCACGCACATATACTATTTTAATGTTATATTACATTATGTTATGACTCAAATAGTTTAAGGCATGACTC